GGGGGGAGTACTGGCTTTTTGTACGTGACATGGTAAGACTGCTGTATATATCCAGTGCCTGGTGTCAGGCTGGACCGTTGGACAGTTTGGCATGTGATGTGTGATGCAGTCTTACACAAAGCTCTGAATTGTTCCAGGCCCAGAAAGCTACATTTTTTTTTCCAGAAGAGGGGACTGTGGGTGGTTGGCGGGTGCTCTGGTGTGGTTTGCTCCTTCTTTCCCATAAGACATCCATCTTCCTTATCTCTCCTCCTTTTTTTGTGTGTGTTTGTTACTCTGTTGTGACACATCTAATCTTCGGCACTTATATGACCTTTTTTGTGTTGCGAGTGCCGTACTACAAATGTACCGTCTGTCCACAGGGGCGTTCTGTGCAGTGAGGAGTTTGTCAACTTTGTCAACTCACAGATGTTGTTCTGGGCCTGCAACACCAGTAGTCCGGAGGGGTATCGGGGTGAGTACATCGGTGTGGGGTGGTTGGTTTTACGCCCGTATCAACACTTATTAAGTTATTCAAGAGGCAGGACCTTTGAATTGAACGTGTGTCTCCAATAGGGCCGAGGCAAATGGGTTGGGAGCTTGAAGACTCTACAAAATGACCCTTGTAGAAGATCCCCCAGTTTGGAAATTTGGAATGTGGGAAGGGACAAAGAGGAAAGTCAGACCTGTCCACACAACAACCTGTATAAGACAATCACATGTACAGACAGCCACTTCCTATTTCTTATCTTGTGTATTTTTTTAAAAATCACATTATAATGACAGTGTGTAAGGGGGACAAATCCCCATTTAGGGATCCTTGTCACTCCGTACCGATAGGTACAAGAATTCCCCAAAGTTCCACGAACCGCACACAGACAAAACCTGCTATCGGTCAACATCGCTACGCACGCGTAGGGCGCACCTAATTTGTAGGTATTGAGAAACAATTCCTATCGCCCCAAATCTCCGTTGCGGGGGACACATCACGCACCATCGCTCACAGTCGCTCACCGCGTTGTGTCATGTGATGTCATGCGGCTGGACAAGCGAAAGTTTTGAATGACCATAGCAAAGCAGGCGTCCATCATAGAAAAAATCTTAACATTTTTAAAATTAGCATCCTTCAATATAGGGTAGATCCGAGCAGATTTTGTTATTTCTCAATAGTATAGAAAAGAATAATTAAGATTGCTATTTCTATAGAAAAAGCATCAGTGTGTTGTGTGGTGCATGGGGATTGTTATTACGTGTACATGTATTATTTCTTTGTCTTGTTTTGGGTGTGTGTGTGTGAAGTGTGTCAGTGAGCCAGCCCGGCGCCACAATTTTTTTACTTTTAGGGATCCTTTCTGGGCCCCCTAGATGAGATAGGTTCCTTGCTACGCGTACTTATTTTACGTATACTTGTTGTCTGGTTTTGTTCTGTGCTCCCCCTTAGACATCCAACTGTCTAAGACTGCCACATTTCTACTCAACAGTGGTTGGTGTCTCAGACAATTTTGACTGTATTGCGATATCATTCCCCAATAGCTGTGTGGTAAATGTTCCTCCGTGTCCCCCCCCCTGCGTGAGCACGCCTACCCATTCCTTGCTGTGATTGTGCTGAGGGAGAACAGGATGAGTGTGGTGGCCCGCATAGAGGGACACATTACAGGTGAGACTTTTGTGTCAGGCATAGAGGGACACATTACAGGTGAGACTTTTGTGTCAGACATAGAGGGACACATTACAGGTGAGACTTTTGTGTCATATATCACAGATGAGATTTGTGTCATACATCACAGATGACATTTGTGTCATATATCACAGATGACATTTGTGTCATACATCACAGATGACATTTGTGTCATACATCACAGGTGACATTTGTGTCATACATCACAGGTGACATTTGTGTCATACATCACAGGTGACATTTGTGTCATACATCACAGATGACATTTGTGTCATACACATAGCTGCCACTTTCCCGCTAAATAACGGAAACTCCGCTCATCTAGCTTTTCCCGCTACTTTCCTCCCTCCTCCGCTGGACCGCTCTCAGTCGCAAATTGCAATACTTTTTTTTTTACATGCGGAAAACGCCGAACCGTGAGAGAGACGAAAACTCAGCTTGCGCATGTCCGGTGCTAGTTTCACATTGTTTAATGTTGTGGAGCAACATAGTGTCGATCGGGCATCGGGACGTTGGCGCGCCGAGTTGTCATTGAAGACGGCGGAAATTCGAGAGAAATTGATTCAGAATGGAAAAATAAAAGGAGCTGGAATGAGAAAGAAGCAGCCGGTGTTTCGACTTGAAAAGTTCAGTATTCAGTAGAAAGTTGAACAATCCGCTTGCTGACTTTGCGTTCGATGCAATAAAGAAATCGAGGCCCGCGCACTCCTGTATAATTGCGGTCCCGTTTGTTTACATGACGGCTATTGTGGCTGTGGGAGTGAATCTAGATCTAGATAATCTATCTCTAGGTATAATCTAGATTTACACATATTTAGATACCGTATCTAGATTCTAGATCTTGATTAGATAGCCTAGGCTATAATTTTAATTCAGTTTAGATCTGCACACTACAGGGGCACTACTAAGTTAAGTGCAAACCGGACCGCAATTGTACAGGAGTACCGAAATCGCCCAGTACAGCGGCAAAGGTGTTGCCTCCTTGATCCAATGCTGCTCTACATCGATGTACAAGTTTAAAGTGAAAGAAATCTTTTTATGAGACACCAGCTGGCAACAAACACTGGATTTTTAGTCCTCAAGTCCAAACTGTGTCAAATTGACTCAAATGCTAGATAGTCAACTCATTGCCTTTGGTTGTTTTTTTGTTTTTTCCAATACATTTTAATTCAGTTGCCTATGGTTAACAATTATGACAGTTTTCCCTTCCAAAACCATGGGCTAGATTTTCCAGTATATTATTACATTGCCTCTGGATCTCACTGGCTTTACTCCGGCCTTCGCCTTCGCGTGAATTTCCTCCTTTTAAAAAATTCCTTAGTGGCAGCTATGCATACATCACAGGTGAGATTTGTGTCGGGCATAGAGGGACACATTACAGGTGAGGCTTTTGTGTCATATGTCACTGGTGAGACTTTTGTGTCAGGCATAGGGGGACTTATCACAGGTGAGATTTGTATCATACATCACAGGTGAGATTCGTGTCATAAATCACAGGTGAGATTTGTGTCATATGAGATTTGTGTCAGTGCACGCTGGGATCCAACGCTCATTTCTCCTCCTTTTCTTTGTATGTCACTTTCTAGTAACACCTCTAATCTTCGGCAGTTATATGGCCTAATTGCAATGCGAGTGCCGTCAAAATCTTTCTAAAGCTGAAACTAGACAGTCAGTCTGCTTTTGTTATTTGTCTGTTTGGCTTGCTTTTAATTAGTATTTAATGACCGTTTTGTGCAGAAGTGCTTCTCTTTACCGAGACAAACCACAGGGATTACGTCTTTCACGCGATTACGTCTTCTCTTCACACCCTTACTTTTTTTTTTCATTATGTCATTACGTTCCCTTCTCTCGTCATTATATGATATTGGAAGCAGACGTTGTGCTGTTGAGGCTAGAGAGGTGAGCAGAGTAAGTCTGATTCCCTACAAGGACTTCTCTGTTGACATCCACCCCTTGGCGCCCATATGACCTTATGCAGTTGCGAGCGCTGTAAAACCTCTACTAAAACTAAACTCACGTCATTATATCATCTCCGCGCGGCATTATTCAGTCCGTGTTTCCCCCCCCCAGCGATAGACTAATCGTCATCCTCACCTTCTCCTCCTCCTCAGGTTCCCGGGAACTGATTCAGAGACTGGAGCAGGTCATCTCGGAGAACGAGTCGTCGCTGATCGCCGCCCGGGCAGAGAGGTGACCCCCCACGCTTAACATATCTCTTGTCATTTCACACCAATAAAATGTACCAACTCCACTTATAAATTTGACAGGGATGCCACTTTTCCACTTTTTTCTGGTATTTCCGGTATTTTGATCCTGATCTGCTCTTCCGTTATTGAGATCGAGATAGAATCTATAGTTGGAAAAAAAAAAAAAACCCACACACAAGGACAACTTGTGCCAAATGTTCAAATAACGCAAAAAGTAAGACTTCGCCATAAGTTCAAATAATGGGGAGGAAAACCCCCGGAAGGTTTGCGCTAATCTCAGCAAGTCGGGAAAACATCCATGTGTTAGCGAGACCGTGGCGCGTGGATTTTCAGCTATTTTCAAAAAAGTTGAGTGGCATCCCTGATTGGAGGTTCCTATGTCTGTCGTGCTTTAATCCATGAAGTAGCTCATTTTGTCCGCACGCCTGTGTAACTGCTGTCTGCCAGTCTTGTGTGGGATAATAATAATAATAATAATAATAAATTACACTTTTATTTGTCCCAGAAGGGCACTTTGTTTTACAATGGCAAACATACATACATAGATACATAATTATAAATACGTACATACGTAAATACATACATGCATAAATACATACATAAATACACACTATTACACAAATACGGAACAGTTTACAAACAATGCCACTGTCGGTCGCCACTGTGCAGCGCCCTGTTATTTGAGCTAGGGTTGTCGTGTCTTGCTCAAGGACACACTCCAGTGACCACCCATCTGATCCCCGTGTCACCGACACTTGCTTGACATTGCTTGAGTCAAAACTCACTACTCACTTAGCCACTGGAGCCCCCTGGATTTCAGGAAGCAGAAGAAAACCAGAACTTGCCCCTATGTGTCCTTTGTGTGACTATACATATGAGACAGTGGATCATCACCTGTTCCACTGTACAGAACTTGCCCCAATGTGTCCTTTGTGTGACTGTACATATGAGACGGTGGATCATCACCTGTTCCACTGTACAGCCCTAAATGACATCAGAGCTACCCTTCTCCCTCCAAGACCTAACTTTGACAACACAATCTATGGAACATTACAGCAACTGCAACAAACTTGCACTTATCACTACATGGCATTCGACAGAAGGGCGAGAGCCCAGATGTTGCTGGATCGATAACTACAATAACATTTGAGGAAGAGAGTCCAAGTCTCGTTGATGGGATTTCCCCGTGAGCTGTGACGGGGAGTGTGATGGTTTCTTTGACAAAGTCACTTACAACTGGGATGATGTAGTGTTGAAGGGAACAATATCAGTCCAACTGGGAGACACTCGGTTTTTGTTTATTGCTTGTTTTTTTTTATATTTCATACTTAGTTTTTTAAATTTTTTGTTCAAACAAATATTATATTCTTCATTAGTTGAATGGAGCGTTCCTTTATCAGGTGGTACTTGTAAACTCTGGCTGTGTCTTGTGTCGGTTGGTAAGCCTGTTCCACTCAAGCAAAGTCCATTTCAAGAAAACTGTTGCCTCTTGTCAGAGAAAAGCACTGAAGTTGTCAACTAAAATTGTGGCTCATGTTGTCCCATCTCAATCTTTTCACTTGTTGCTGACTGCTAACTCTGTCATGTTTCTGTCTGCTAACTCTGTGATGTTGCTGTCTGCTAACTCTGTCATGTTTCTGACTGCTAACTCTGTCATGTTTCTGTCTGCTAACTCTGTGATGTTTCTGACTGCTAACTCTGTCATGTTTCTGTCTGCTTACTCTGTCATGTTTCTGTCTGCTAACTCTGTCATGTTTCTGTCTGCTAACTCTGTCATGTTTCTGTCTGCTAACTCTGTCATGTTTCTGTCTGCTAACTCTGTGATGTTTCTGTCTGCTAACTCTGTCATGTTTCTGTCTGCTAACTCGGTCATGTTTCTGTCTGCTAACTCTGTCATGTTTCTGTCTGCCTATCTCTTCATTTCTCCAGCACAGAGCGGCCTTTGTCTTGTCGATTTCCCTCTCTTTTGTTTAAGGAAAGTAACAAACACTTTTCTGTAGTGGGTGGTTGGAGGGTGCTCTGGTGTGGTTTGCACTATCTTTCCTGTCAAACATTTATGTCCCTATCCCTCCTTCTTTTCTTTGTATACCACTCTCTACTAACACCTTTAATCTTCAGCAGTTTTATGATCTTTTTGTGTTAGTTGCAAGTTCTGTAAAACTCTTACTCAAACTAAAATTTGCTCCTTCTTTTCTTATAAAAAATCGATCGTCTCTATCTCCCCTCCTTCTTTTTTGTGTTTGTTCCTCTCTTGTAACACCTCTAATCTTCAGCACTTATATGACCTTATTGTGTTGCATTGCCGTAATACTCTTACTGGAACTAAAATTTAAAAGACCCGACTTGTCGTGTGTGTTTCCAGAGAAGAGCGTAGCTTCAACCAGTCGCTGAGACAACAGCAGGACGAGGCTTATCTGGAGTCTTTGAAGGCGGACCAGGAGAAAGTACGTGATTACTTGACTTGCTTGTTGGTGGATTGCTTTTTGTCCTGCCTTTGTTTTTGTTGTTTTGTTTTTTTGTCTTGTGTCCTGATTTGATGCCGCCCATTGGTGACTGATGAGTACAGTGTGTCAGTGAGGGAGTTAATGGTACAGTGTGTCAGTGAGGGAGTTAATGGTACAGTGTGTCAGTGAGGGAGTTAATGGTACAGTGTGTCAGTGAGGGAGTTAATGGTACAGTGTGTCAGTGAGGAAGTTAATGGTACAGTGTGTCAGTGAGGGAGTTTATGGTACAGTGTGTCAGTGAGGGAGTTAATGGTACAGTGTGTCAGTGAGGGAGTTAATGGTACAGTGTGTCAGTGAGGGAGTTTATGGTACAGTGTGTCAGTGAGGGAGTTAATGGTACAGTGTGTCAGTGAGGGAGTTAATGGTACAGTGTGTCAGTGAGGGAGTTAATGGTACAGGGTCAGAGAATAGCATAAAGAGGTCATCATCATTCATCGAGTGCCAGATCGGCGATCATGGTTCTCCATTCATTCCTTTGCTCGGATACTCTTTAAAAAGCTACGTTCCCTGATCTATCCCCGTTACCCATTTGTTTAGGTTCCCTAAGTAGGTTGCTCTGGGCCTACCTCTGCCTTGTTTGCCTTCAATTTTGCCAGTGAGAGCTAGATGTTCAAGACCCTTGTGTCTATTCAGGTGTCCTGAAAACTGTTTGAAAATATATCTTATTTTTAAAATGCTTTTGATGATCAACATTAACGATGATGATGATGATGAGGAAGTTTTGAGGATGGCGTTGTGGATTCATCAACTGTTGTTGTGTTGCAAGTGCTGTAAAACTCTCGCTAAAACTCCAGTTCCGTAGCAAGTGCTGTAAAACTCTTGCTAAAACCCCACTGTGTGTTTTGCGACTGTGTTCAGCCTCCACATGTCTCACAGCTCACATTTCTGTCTTTACAGGAGAAGAAAAAGCGGGAGGCGCGGGAGAAACAAGAGGAAGAGGAGAAGAAGAAAAGGCAGGAGGAGGAGGAGAAACAGCAACAGTTCTTGGTAGGATGTCTGTGTGTCTGTGTGTGTTGTCAGTGTGTCTGTGTGTGTTGTCAGTGTGTCTGTGTGTGTTGTCAGTGTGTCTGTGTGTGTTGTCAGTGTG